AACATACCTCATTTTGGCATGAACTGTCAGTGAATCCAGGAGGTTCATTGGTAAGGGAGTAATAGATCCTGAGGCCAAACAGCTGGTGCCAGGGAGAGGTATCCTCATAATTCCATTTCCATAAATAGTTTCTACCAGAGCTCCCATGGGTAATGTAAAACATTCTGAATTTGTAGAGTATGCATTACATAACAGGGCAATCTTATAGTCATTCATTTGTAAACTTTTATTTCTCAGACTCTGCTGGAGAAACCTAAAAATCCACGTTTCGTTAGACAGAAAAAATGCAAACATTTTCATAAAGTTAAACTTGCATTTTTTTTTTAAAAAGTTCAATTTTATGCAACTATTCATTTGTGCTATCTTTGTTCCTACATGTATTATCATTTCTGGGTGAAAAGTAGAGTGGAAACACATAGAAGTTTGGGTAGCATTTCAGAACACACTTAAATAATTATAAGTTAAAAATTAATGAGTATTTGCTAAGTATGTTCTACATATTCAGCACTGTATTAGGCTAAGTTTCAGAGAATGAGGAAATAACTCACAAATCCATGAACTAGGTTTCTATTTATTATCTATGTAAGCACAACAATATGCCTTCATTATACATAATACCATGAAAACATGGCTAAGTGGTATCTCAGAAAGTGAAAGCCAAATAAAACACCAAGTCTGACTACCCTGCAGGCTCTCATGAAGAGATGTGGCAGTCCTATTCAGAAGTTCCTAGCACCCTTGACTGGAGTATAGTATTATCTAAGGGCATCTTCTTTGAGTGATCACAGCTTTGGAAGAGAGGTAAGGGAGCACGTCAGTCAGATAAGCTCAGTCAATCCTGGCAGCCCAGGGAGTGAAAGATATCTCAGTCAGATCATGCCTGAGTCCCAAGCGCTCGAGAAATTTTGAAACATTTTCACATTAATAAAAATTAATATGCTTCCATTAAATTAATGACTTTCAAGTGCAATATATGAAAACAAAGATCAGCATGGAAAATTTTTTTTTTAAAAATCCATATGTAAGCAGGATTATTCCTATAGTAGTTTCCTGATACAGGTACTGCTCGGATTCTCTTGTTATGACATATACACTAAATATTCATCCCTACCCTACCTCCAGCAGGTGTGGGGAGATTTCCAAATTATGCACAAATACTGAGACCAGTATTAGTCTTCAAGCCACTATTTATTAAATAAGAAAGTTAAATGTCAAACAACAAATAACTTACTCATGGTGAAGCTTTAGGGAATGGGGTATTGGAATTTGTAGCTTGGAGTTGTCATTTTGAGCTTTTCTATTGAGATGAATCCAAATACAAGTCATTGCAAAGGCATGAGTTGACTGGGGTTTGTTAATATCAGGAACTGGGATACACTGAAAAATAACAATTTGCATATTATAAGAAAGAGAGGAATTAAATAATTATATGTATTTTAGTAATCCATTTTTGGTATATCTCTTTTTAAAATATCCTATCTTAATTTAGCCCCAATGGTTCTTTGACTATTCAACAATACAAATCAGGTCTAATAGCCATAAAAGTTTGAAACTATTACAAGATGTTTTACTTGACATGTTTTTACTTGCCAAGAAAGTAACAAATTCACAAGTGCTTTGTCAAGCTTTTCCTACTATCGCAGAGCATTATTAAACAAAAATCAA